TCTCTTCATATAAGCATTTATTCTGTTTTTTTTTTTTTTTTTTTTTTTTTTTTTTTTTTTTGTTGGCAATTCAACAAGAATAATTTGAGGACTCAAAATATATATAGAGAGCTAAAATAGATTCATAGAGAGCGCAAAGCTGCATAAGCATATAGAGACATCCAAAAAGTAGCTTGTTGGGTCAATAAATTGATCGAAAATGAAACTACTTAAGTAGTTGAAGGAAACTTGGGATCCTAACTTGCCAATTACTTGGAATACTCTTTCGTTTGTCTAATGTTTAGTATAGTACAAAACTCTATATTTTTTGATCTGTGGAATTTTCAACACCCCCTTCAAGCCTATAGAATATATATACATAGTCTAAGTTCCATAAAAATACTTTAAGACTCTAAAGCATATGTAATTCAATAATTAATGCTCTACCATCTCAATCTCTATCTCTCTCTCTGTCTGTCTCTCTTTCTCCCACTCTCCTCCTTTCACCCTTCCAGTGATCATCTGAAGATCCACATGAAGACGCACGACATACAGAAGCCCTTCCAGTGCAGCATGTGCAATCGTGGCTACAACACGGCCGCCGCCCTCACCTCGCACATGCAGAAGCACAAGAAGAACGCCGCAATCCTCGCAGCTGGCGGCAATCCCAATGCACTCAATTACAGTCCACGCTCCACGGGCTCCGCCTCGATCTCGAGCAATGGGAGCCTGCATAAGCGACGCTATGCCTTGGCGCTGGCCTCCGACAGCAGTCCCAGTCGGCTGGAGTTTCCCAAGCGGGCGCGTGGCCAGCTGGCGGCCACGCCCACGGCCACAACGATAGCCACGCCGACGCCCACGCCGCTGCTGCGCTGCAGCTACTGCCCCAAGGCAACGGAGTTCAGCAGCCTCGAGCAGCTCAACGCGCATCTGCAGAGCACACACGAGCAGCAGCCGCAGCCGCAGCCGCAGCCGCAGCAGCAGCAGCAGTCGAAGGAGTCGGATGGCCAGACGAATGGCTTCCAGTTGAGCTGCGAATATTGCACGATGAAGTTTGTGAATATCGCTGCGCTCTTCCAGCACATGAGAGTCACGCACTTGGATCGCCTGAGCAGCCCCAATTCCTATTACGAGCACTTCCATCGCCTGGGCTCGCCGCAGTCGAAGCTGAAGTCAGATCTGGCGCCAACGGAGAAGCCCGAGCAGGAGCTGCCCACCGATCTGAGCAGCAACAAGCGCCGCCCGCTGATCTCACCCACGCAGCAACAGCAGCAGCAACAGCAGCCGGCGCCAGCTCCACCGCCGCCTCCTGGCATCTTCTTCTGCAATCAGTGCAACGCCGGCCTGCCGGACTTTGAGAGCTTTCGCAATCATCTGAAGAGCCACATCGCCGAGGGCATGCAGCTGATCTGTCCGCACTGCGGCCTCAGTCTGCCCGAGCAGTGCGAGTACGAGCGCCATGTGGTCGCCCATTTCCTGATCAGCAGCTCCGAGTTCAATTGCTGCAGCGCCAGCTGCGGCAAGTCCTATGCCAAGGCGGAGGAGCTGCATCAGCATCTGCTGGCCGAGCACGTCCAGACGATGCTGAAGTGTGTCCTGTGCTCGGAGCTCTGCGAGAATCGCATGTCCATGCAGCTGCACCTGGCCTGCGCCCATAGCCAGGAGTCGAAGCTGCTGCGCTGCAGCGCCTGCCTGGAGCTCTTCCGCAACGATGGCGACTTCCATGTGCATGTGAAGACACGCCATCAGCTGGGCAACCAGGGCACTCTGCCCGGTAATCCTCCTGCGCCGGCCAATCCGCTGCAGTGCATGTTCTGCCGCGCCGTCTGCTCCTCGGAGCTGGAGATGCATTTCCATTTGGCGGCGCATGCGCGACAGTTCCGCTGCCCCAGCTGCCCGGAGACCTTCCATGTGGAGTTCCTGCTGGACAGGCACATGCAGAGCCAGCACGGCGGCATCAAGGACAAGGAGTCGCCGGTTCCGGGCGGCATGGGCAGCTTGTATGTGAATGCGCTGCTGCCGCCACTGGCAGCGGCTGCTGCTGCCGCTGCCGCGGCAAGCAATGCCAGCAACAACAACAACAACAACAATAATAATAATATTGATTACAATGTCGCCTTCAAGGGTCTCTTTGGCGGCGGCAATCCGCCGAGCAAGTTCTACAACAGCCCGCTCCAGGTGGACACCAAGCAGAGTCCGCATCCTGCTCTCATGTACGGCCTGAGCCAGCGCTACTTGATGGAGATGTACGCCGCCAAGGCCAATTCGCCAGCCAATGCCAGCGCCGGAGCGGAGCTGCCCACGCCGCAGGCCGCGTCAGCAGCAGCAGCAGCAGCAGCGAGCGGCAGCAACAGCAGCGGCAGCAACAACAACAACAGCTACAGCTGCGGCATGTGCGAGCGCCAGGATCTGCGCAGCGAGGCCGAGCTCCATTCGCATCGTAAGCTCGCCCACAATCTGAAGACGGGCGTCAGCCTGCGCTGCGCGTACTGCTCCGGGAACTACAAGAGCCGAGCCGAGCTGGAGCAGCACATGAAGAGCTGCCACAACTCGAGCGGCAAGCACAAGTGTCTCATCTGCGACGAGATCTTCCCCTCGCCCGCCATTCTCGCCGAGCACAAGCTGCAGCACTCCAAGGTGGGCCAGTCCGGCAAGTGCGCCCACTGCGGCCAGCAGCTGGAGCACGTGGCCGCCTTCCGTGCCCATCTCAGCGAGCATGGCAACGATGGCAATCTGCCCATGGCCTGCATCTGCTGCCGCCAGACGCTGCACTCGGAATTCGAGCTGAGTCTGCATGCCAAATTCCACACCAAGTCGCCCAGTTGCAACAGCCTGCAGGAGCCCGTCTGCGCCCTCTGCCTGGAGCCGCTGCCGGGGGCGGGGGAGACGGCCAAGCTGTGCGACAAATGCTGCCGCAAGCACAATCTGAATGGCAAGCGCAAGGAGCAGGTGCAGCCCACGGCCATCGCTGCCCCTGCAGCCGCCGCAGCTGGCGCCTATCTGGAGCATCGCTGCAATCTGTGCAAGATGATCTTGCCCCATGCCCAGAAGCTGCAGGAGCATCTCGTCGAGCACACCTTCGCGGGCACCGAGCAGCGTGGCTACAATTGCTACATCTGCTCGGCTGTGTTCACGGCGCCCGCTGGCCTGCTCGCCCACATAGCGGAGCACGGCACGCGTCCGTACGACTGCAACTTGTGCCCGGAGAAATTCTACTTCCGTGCCGAGCTGGAGCATCATCAGCGAGCGCACGAACTGCACGCTCAGCCGGCAGCAATGGCAGCGGCAGCAGCAGCCGCAGCAGCAGCAGCAGGAGCAGGAGCAGCAGCAACACGTGCTCCTAAGCAGGAGGCGCACAGCTCGACGGCCAGTTCTCCACTGACGCTCAGTCCCAGTCATGTCAAGCAGGAGCTATACGAATCGGAGCCAGCGAATTCGCCCAACGCCGCGGAGCTGCCTCCTGCGCAGCAGGAGGAGGAGGAGTACATTGAGGTGGAGCAAATGCCGCAGGAGACGCTGCGAACTGGCGAACTACTAAGCACCGAGCGTTCCAGCAGCAGCGCCTAAGTATTATTACCCTTAACTAAATACAAATACTAAACTAAATACTAAATACTAAACTAAATACTAAACATTAAAGAAAACGAATCTATCTAATGGCATTTTAAAACTCTAGCGTCCTTGAGGTTAAGGATATATGTATGTATGTTGTAGTTATATCTAGCTGAAAAGAAAAGAACAAAAATATCAATGGTATTCCCGCTTAAAATGACATTTTATGCAGCTTGCTTCATGCTCTCTACATGGATAATATACAGTACCGAGCAAAAATGAGTGAATGTTTTACAACTTTGACTTTCATCACGCATAAAAATTAAACCATACAAGCAAATTAAGATTTTGTTTTTTTATACTTGTTTATTAGTTTGTTCTTAACAAATAGAAAAAGTTGCAACGCTAAATCAGCTAAACTCAATTAATGAAAAATAAAAAACCAAAAAAATCCACATAAACTCAATTTTGCACGTTTCATAATTGCCAATACTTTGGCTTTTCTACTTCTCTTCTCAGCCGAAATCATCCAGATTTCCCCATAACTTAGCTCCTTGGGTATTCTTCTTAGTCGTAGATTGAGCATGTAGATTTACCGTTATCTTAGTCCTTTTAATATTCTTATTTGTAAAGCGATTTGAAGCACATTTTCTTTTCGCAACAAATTTAAAATAATTGGTGAAATATAATTTTAAAATGTGGAAAATTTCAGTCGACATTGAAAATAGTGGTGTGTGCCTGACCGGGAAGGGATTTCCTTCGCTTATTATTGCCGAAAAGCTTTGAATCAGCCGAAATTTGACTCCGAAAACTCAAGTCAAAGGTTGCAAAAAACTGTTCTCGGGCTCTGATGCTCGCCTAATGATGTCGAAAATTAAGAAAAACAAGCTGCTAGCACCAAAGGGTGTTTCTCTAGTAATTAATAAAAATGTTAGCAAATGGACTGCTAGAAGAGAAATTCGTGGCTTCGGATATGTATCATTCGTTAAAAAACAAACCTGCATTGTCCGAAAAAAATGTGAAGGCGCGTTTGAAATTTGCAAGGGATCACAAAAACTGGAGCATTTATGATTGGAAACNTATATATATAGAATCATCATAATTATAAAGAACTAAAACAAAACAATGCCTAGCTAAGTAATATCATAATTAAAATACGAATAGAGTAGTTTTGATTAATGTGTGATAGTTTTCAAAAGGTAAACATGATGAATTTTTCTATTCTGTAACTAGTTTGTATTATCGTACTAAAACTAACCAAGAAATATATTAATTTATATAGTTTAAAGCCCCTTATATGTATTTATGTATACCTATCAAATATATAACATACAACATATATATATATATGTATATGTAGGTGTGTACATTTGAATAATCAACGCATGGTAACTACAATTATGATCTATGTCTTACATAAGCACCAAGCATTTTTAATGTGTAGCATATCAAAAAGGAATCCAACACGAGACACTACAAAATATTTAGAGTAAATGAAATAAAAAACAAAAACACAGAAGTTGAAACCAAAATACAAAAACCTCGCGTAATTTCTTTTATGGGTTTACTTAGAAGTTTCGCCTGTAAATCTGATAAGATTTTTATGGAAGCTGACGACATGCGTCTCCAACAATTTTATGGCGAATATTTTGTGTGGCTTTTCGATACCCTGTCAGCATGAAAGGTGTGGGTATCATGCGCCATTTGAAGGTGACTTGAGCTTGATTTCAGATCTCCAATGGCAATTGGCAGAGCTTTTACTCTTGGAGTGCTTTAGCTCAATGGATCTCAGCTTCTATAAGAGGTAAAGCTAAGCAATTTTAGCTATAAGATTTTGTACACTTATACTAAACTTTTTTCAAAGAGTTTATTCCCTTACAGTGAAATTTATAGTATAGTCACTCAAAGTTAAATAGCCCCGTTAAATTTCGAGTTTATTTAAACTGTATTTAAATAATTCTTGATGTTCTTAGGCTGACATATAAACATGGCTGTAAGTATATGATATTTTTCTGCAGTATATCTGGTATTTTTTGGGATTACTAAAGACTTCTTGTCATAATAAGCTGGCTTAAGCATGACTGTAATTATAATAGGATATATTTTTGTAAATTTTACCTAAAAACCCGTTCAATTTCATATAACATAGTATATTTAAACAATGCCAAAACCATCACAAAATGTAATAATGGCCAATGTTTAAAGCCTGAGACTAATTCAAGAATATTTTTAGATACTAATGTCTTTAGTCATTAAGCTCAAGTAACCTGCAGATTAGTCAATAGCTCAGAGAAGAAGAGAGAGTAAGGAAGATATAGTTTCTTATTGGAGAAAAGAAGATATAGTTACTTATTTTCTCTCGCATAGAAACCAGGGTATTTACTAGTCGAGCAGGGCTGATTTGAATATTATTAATATATATATTCGTATAATTATCTATAAGTTATGTTATTACAAATAAAACACCTTCCGCTTGAAGTGAATTTAAAGAGTAAGGCAAATGAAATGTCTTTAACTCAATGGAGTTTCAACAAACTCTTGAGCCAATATGGCACATGCTTGCCCTTTCTAGGGTATCGACTAGCTGTGATTAGCTGCCAGAGGCTTCCTCGTTTTTAATTTCTGGTGCTTTTCGGCGGCCGCGACACGTAACGACCATAAAAAAGGTGCGCGCGAGGGTAACTCGTTTTTGTGTATATATACATATATGTATACAATATATATGTATGTGTAGATGTGCATATATAGTTGTTTTTTATTCCTCTTGCTGAGGCGACACAACAAATTGGCGCTGGGTGATGCCTATCTGTAAGACCGGTGGCAATTATGCCTGGCGAAAAATGAGACAAAAGATAAGAAGCAGAAGCAGAAGCTGAAGCTGAGACAGAGACTGAGACTGAGGCTGAGATGGCGACTGAGACAGAGACTTCCTAGAATGCACTGGCAATGGGCTCCGCCAGTTGGACAGTGGCTAATCCGGGACAGGGTTAGCAGCACCTCCTGCTTCTGGGAAGCAATTGCAAATAAATTGCATTTAATAAATTGCCCAGGCGGAGAGCAGGAGCTCCAACTGGATGTTGGATGTCACTTTCAGTGCACCTGTGCACTGGTGACAATTGTTGGCCGTTCGCCGACGTCGGCAATCATCACAAATCAATAAAAATGTTTATTATCAGCAATTGGTTCAACTAAACACCGGCAGTAGTTAATTAGCGCCATGCCCGGCATGCCAATGCGTTCCGACCGATGGAAAACTTGAAAAACCAATCTCCGACAACAGCAGCCTCAGCAGCAGCAACTCCAATTGAAAGCCAGCCAAGGAACAACTTTAGCTCCAAGTCAAAATCCAACTCCGAGTCGAGCTACAACTGCAACTGCAGCTCCATTGATGGTTTTCATCGCATGCAGACCGCCAGGCGCGTTGCCTCTCCGAGTTTCCGCGAACTGTTTTTATTATTTTTTTTTTTACTGAATTTTTTTTTTTTTTGCCTTTTTCTTTTTAGCTCAGAAAACGTCACCAATATGTCGAGAGCCATTGGATCTAAATCAAAAGCCACCTCCGGAGTATCACGCATCGATTCGCGTCGATTTATCTTTTGGTATTTGCGGCATTTGACGGGTTTTTACAGTCGGCTGATGCATGCGCGCACCGTGGTTGAAAATCAATTTAATTTTAATTTTTTTAAAATATTTATTTATGTATGCATTTATATTAAAAATATGTACATATTTTTTTATATTATATCAGAGTTTTTTCTTGGCAATATTGGCAAACATTATATAAATAAAAAAAAGTGAAAAAAAAAATCATTTATAGGCAAAGGATACTAGGAAGTATTTGGTGGAATTTTATTTTTTATTTTTAATTCTTTAGCTTAGGCAATAAATTACATTCTTTCAGGCTTCAGCAGGACTCAAGTTATATTTAAATAATATTTAACTGTAATTTAAGCTTTGATTCACATTTAAGCTCTTCGTTTATTCAGCCAAACTTCATCAACAAGAATTATCATAGCTTTTGCTCCACTGTGCGGCGTTTGAAAGTCTACTTGGCTGCTTGCCGCACCGACAGCCAAGTGGAGCAACAATTGCAGTTGTTGTTGTTGTTGTTGTTGTCTCACCTGCATGTTTTGGCGTCTCTTTGGCTGTTTGGCGACGCATTAGCAGCTACTCCTTGTTGCAAGCAGCCCGGCCAGGCCAAGCCAGGCCAGACCCCTCTGCCCCTTGAGCTACTCTATTAAAGTTAAGTGTTGGCCTTCGCCTGGCATGCAGCAACCATTCCCTGTCTCTCTCTCTCTCTCTCTCCCTCTCACTCTCTGCTACAATTGTGGCATGTGAGCGTCTAAAACATTTGGAAAAGCGTTGCAAGTCTTTAGATTTGTTGCGCGCGTAACTTTGACAAATGAAGAAGCGAGCAGTAGACATATTTGGCCAGCTGATGATGCTGACAATGATGATGATGTTGATGATGTTGATGATGTTGAGGAACACCTAAACCAAAACCAGCGCCTCATAATGGATACAAATGATGATAAAGCTAAAGGCGAGGCCCCATCAACAATGCCTGGCTGATTTGGGAGCTGCTTTTCAAATGGACAAATGTCGAGCAAAAATGTTTTCGCATGCCTTATTAAACAACTTGGTAAAGTGAAATATGCCCGGAGCTTTTTATACCGTCGAAACGGCGTGAAAAGGTGCATGATAAAGTTGTGGGTTTGTATGTGACAGTGAGAAATGGAAGTCTCTTACGCTGTGGAGTATGTGGCATGTGCTTGGGGAGTTTCAATCAAGCCGCATAGCAAGTTTTAGTAGCGCAGCTTCTAGATTAGCCTAGTTCCCTGAGACTGTCCCAGTGAACTTGGGCAATATAGGAGCAAAGTTCTTGAAATTTGATTTGCAAACAAGTGTTGGGTTTTTATAAGTATATGTCTTGACTTTGGTTTAAAAATGGATATACTTCTCAAGTTATAAGTTATTAAATATATCATATGGAAATATT